GGCGTGATTGAGTAACAAACATCCATCCAAACATCTAAACCTCTAAACTTTCACATTTCTAATATTAGGCACCTAATAGTTACTCAATAACTTCTTAGTTTTACGTGATTATTTGACATTTCACAAAAGTAGATTATTTTTATCATAAAACAACAGATTTCTCCGGACACGAGAAGAAAATAATTGATGCGGAATTTCTGAAGAAAGTCGGAAACTTGGTTTCATACTGCACTAATTACTAGCATCACGATATGAGTGGAACAGATTCAATTATACTCGTATATACATATATACTGTCGACTTGCCATCGCTTTGCTCGGGTGCGTCCTTTGGGTACGTTTTATTTTTTTGAGTGGAATCCTATTTTTATTTCTAAAATAAAAGTAGCCTAAGTTACTCCATTTAAAATCAGCTATCTGCCAGTGAAAATCTCGTCAAAATCATTCCAGCCGTTTCGAAGATTAGCCGGGACAACAGTCAACAGTCAGATAGAAAGACAGACAAAAAATTTAAAAGCTGTGTTTTTCTTATACGTTCGTATATAGTTTTATTTGTATTTAGTAAAAAGCTGTTATTTTGACATTATACATATGAATGTTCAATTTTCAACCGACTTCAAAAAGGAGGAGGTTCTCAATTCGACTGTATGTTTTTTTTTTTTTTTATGTTTGTTACCTCAGAACTCCGTCATTTATTTACCGATTTGGACAATTTTTGTTTTGTTTGAAAGGGTGTACTTCCAGATTGGTCCCATTTAATTTTCAAAAAAAATACCACCCCTAAGGGTGGAAAAACAACTAATGATGAATTTAACCTACTTCTAATTGTCATATTGACTTGAAACTTTGCAAGTATTTCTATTTCCGTTGATAGTACAGTGGTTCGTTGTTGTTGACCTGATCTGATGGCAAGGCCAGAAGGTGGATAGGTGGAACTCTTCAACGGCTAATAGTAGATACTTTGAGTTTGGGCTTATTTTGTTTGATTTGACAAGCCTAACACGTTAGAATCCTTACTTTGCTACTACTGTCTACACTAAAAAGGGTAAAATAAAAACTTTTTAACAACAAAATAAAAACCGACTTCAAACAAAAGCACTAAAAAGTAACAAATAACTGATTGGTAGTTTTCATTTACTATACATACCTAATCAAATATTTTCGAAGTCGGTGTGCTTTGGCTAAGTAATTAAAGCCTACCTATTAAATACATACCTAATCAAATATTTTCGAAATCGGTGCCAACCCATACAAAGCTAAGCACACCGACTTCGAAAATATTTGATTAGGTATGTATAGTAAATGAAAACTACCAATCAGTTATTTGTTACTTTTTAGTGCTTTTGTTTGAAGTCGGTTTTTATTTTTTTGTTATTTCTTAAGCTTACGTAGTATCGATATCTGCATAGAACAACATTGTAACTCATTATTACAACTTTAATTTTAAACTTTACAAATAATATGAGAAATTAATTTCTATTTTGAAATTATCTCAATAATTTCTTAATTCATTAAGAAATTATTAATAGTAATAATAAAGTAATTTGATTTTCATATTTTTTATGAGGTTATAACTCTAGGGTGGTTTTATTCGAATTAAAAAATCTCTTTTAAGTAGAATGATGAGTTTCATGAGGTTTTGAAGTCAATGTAACTTTTTGGTTAAAAAGTACTTTAAAGGATTAATCCCACCACGACCGCTGACACGCCGGCGTGTCAGTTAAAATTAGATTTCTTAAAAATTTTTTCTTAGAAATTCAATTAATTTCTTAGAAATTTACCTGGAGGTGTTAAAAGGGAATAGATTTAATAACACTAATATTATAAATGCGAAAATTGTGTTTTTGTTGGTAATTTTTCGCATTGAAATAACCGGACTGATAGGACACAGATATACTATAACTTGAAGTAATTCCTTCACCTTTTATGAGTCAGAAACTACCCAGTAACTGGACTATTAGTCTTTTGGGTTGGTTTGTGGAAGGTAAGACGTACGCGACACAGGGTATGCTAGGCCCATGTTTTGTCACACAATAATTGTTATTATTTTTTGTTATTAGTGTATATTTGTATCCATTTTGTTTTTACGAATTGAATAAATAACTAAATATCTTTATAACTATTGAATATCAGTATTTGAAGTCGCATAATATACGCAGCTTTACCTTCTATCCTATTGAAACTTATTGAAAAACTAAAAAAAATCTATACCGTCCAACAATTCTCAAGAGGCGAATGAGATAGATCTTATATTCTACACTACCAACTCACCCTCGCTTCGCTTCTTTAAATTGACATAAACTTTTATTTATGAATCCTTTGAAATAAAACAAATACAAAATGTTAATTGAAGCTTACTAGAATACATCCTAGTAAAGTAGTTAGTAAAATACCGCACTAAAATCGGTAAAGCCGTTTCTGAGATTAACGCGCACAAACGCACAGACAAATAAACAAAAATCCTAAAAATCTTGTTTTGGGTTCTATTGCGTTAATAAAAAATAATAGTATTTTTTCTCAAACATCTTCCATGTACAGACAACTATCAGTTACAATTTTATTATACCTATGTATAGATTTGCTTTAGTACAATTATTGAAATATTACCTACTCCTGGGAGATGGATATCTTTCTTAAAATGTTTATAGAAATACGCTTGAAAGAGGGTACTCTTTAAAAAAAACATGAAAAATAAAGATATATACTTATAAAAATATTGCTACGTTAGAACAATAACAGACACAACCCTTTTCTCTACTCTAAAACTTAAGCCCTAAAGCTCGTTTCTTGTTAAAACAAGTCTCTAAGTTTTATAACTTTTCAAAATTGGTTGGAATATCTGCCATATCATACTTTTCGATCCACTCGTTATTCGTTACTTGTTAAGAGATACAGATAAATAGAACTATCTTTTCGGATTATTTCGTGAATTTATTTTGATTTTTGGTTCCCGATGTTTCGAATACTTTACAACAATCATGGTCACGGAAGAGACTAAGGTTTTAGACGACTCAATGGCGTTATATTATACCTGTTACAAACTTGTTGTTTTGGAACCAAAAATCAAAATAAATCCGCGAAATAATCCGAAAAGATAAAATTATTTTAAATGTCAAATATTCGCGTAAATCTAAAAAAGAGTTATCTATTTCCTTATTTGCTTGCTCATTTATTTGTTAATGAACAATGTTTATAAAGCCTAGTACCTATAATTCTTTAAAAAAAATTTAAATTATGTAAATTGATTAACACAATATACCTTTTTCATTCTTCCGGTAAATAATTTTATCGCTTACAATAATTTTCGTGCAGTATAAAATTTTAAACTAATAATGGTACTGTAAGCAACTTCATTAACTATCTAGAATCGCGCTACGTCCAAGTCTATACATTTAATAAAATTGTAACTAAGCCTAATTTGTACATTAGATATTTTTTGGAGAATCTTATTGAAATAAAAATTATTATCGATAAGAGGCCGAATCTATAGTTTTTAGAATTTTTATCTGTCTGCTTGTCTGCCGGTCTGTCTGTCTGTTTACCTGTCTGTTACCGCATCACAGAAAAACCACTGGAGGGATTTTGATGACATTTGGTATGGTGATAGTTAGTTATCCGGGTCAACATAAAGAATACTTTTTTCCGCGGGAAAATATCTCATTTTTGAGAAAAATACAAAAACTGCAGTGTAAGAGTATACTAATATGTAAAACCCAAGAATTTGGTTTTTGGTCATCTGAACGTGGGTGGAGCCGCGGGCAATGCTAGTCAACTATATGACATAACATTATTATAGCAAGTGATATTTGCGATACCAATCATAATTGCATTTACCTACCTTTTACTTTCAACAAGTTATCTCCTTATAAATAACTATACTTTGATAAGTAATCTTCACGCTTTTCTTTGTGGAAGAGTTAAGATATAATATAATTTAAGTACATTGTTAAAGTAAGAAAACACATTAATTACTCGATAATATAAAATTAACTCACTCAGTTAACTAATCTAGATTTTCTGACGATACGCTTGGCTCAGTTTGTAGTGATCCTATTTGCTGTGCCAGCAGTCGCGGGTTCGAGTCCTGCTGGGAGCATTCATTTATGTGATAAGCATGAATGTTTGCACTCCAGTCATGGTTGTTTAAATTTATAATATGTATATATTCAAAGTTATATATGTGTAATATATCAACTATCTAGTATATATAACACAAGCCTCGTATCTTACCTTGGAACTAGATGGTGATGTGTGTTAATGTACCAACCTATTTATTTCATTTAAAATATAAGTTTATAAAATGATACCCATATTTCTATTTTACTAGTAAATCTAATAATTAACGTATTCGCTTAGAAAACTACGTGAAGTGGGTTCAAACCCGGATTTTGGATCTCTGAAATTTTCATATGCGAATCCTATTTAAAAAAATATTATTACAATTTGAAGTAGAGTGGGGTTTTAAAAAGTTAGAAAGAACTACATCGCGACAAATTAATATGTCCGAGAGAGTCGTAGTTTTCAATGGATACGTCGCCTGTTACCTTGTCGTATTGAGAAGAAGCCCTTGCCCAGTGCGACGTTAAAAGGGGGATACAAACAATATATTATTTATAGTCAATCCTCTGGTTCATTGCTGTGTGAAATAAAACTAACAAACGCTAACAATTGCATTTATAGGAATTAAACATAGAAGATAAGAAAATCATTTTTCCATTGATTTACTATTGATTTTATTAATAACTGTAGATTTGTGTAATTAATTGATTGCGATAATGGTTTAAATAATTAAAAAATAAAAAGTAAAATAAAAAAATATAGACCTTAATTTTCATCAAAACTTTCATAACTATACATTTTATTTGAAATGTCATTATTTTAGGCAAATTGTCTTTTTTTAAGTAACTGTTTTTTATTCATATATCAATTCCATACAGTTTGTTCTTAGCCTTTTCCAAATTTCCGTAGCCTAATAAATATTATTCATAAAAAAATCCTTACCTTTAACACTTCTGCTTTCAAAAACTTCTAAGTCTAAAGCATCACTTCTGCCTTCCGGATTGGAAAATCTGAACGTGAAGTCATTCCAGTCGAAGCTTATCGCGTGTGTTGATATCAATCTTGTCAGAGGGTCCAGGATGGATCTCGCTTGTCTGTTCTTTAAAGGTTCTATCGTGAATGTATCGAAAAGTCTTACAGTTTTCTGCTGCCGGAGACTTTGAACTAAGTCCTTCGCCATATTATCTATACACGTAGCATTGTCACTACAATTCAAATCCACGATACCCGCTCTAACCTGACTAAATAGCGCTAACGCGACAATATATACTAAGGAAGTCATGTTCACTATGTCCTTATCACCAGCACTGTCAATCCATTTGTGGCGGAACCACCTGCATCGGTGGTTACTTCTTCAATGAATCCTTTCTTCGGCCGCTTATGATTTTTATTCTCTGTCACGCTGCACTGGTTTCATACTACGTGTATACTATAGTTTTTTCCAAGCACTATACATACGTGTTCCTATTTGTCTGAAACACTTTTTCCACATCAAATATTGTGTGGATTTTACGTGTGTTTGTTTAAGGTGTATTGTCGATCGGTACGTTCGTTACGCATTATGTGATTTCGTTTAAGACCTACTGTCTGATCAATTGGTATTTTACTTTCAAATGTACTATTGGCAGATAAAGCATTAGATTTCTCGTTTTTTTTTCTTAATCTGAATATTGCATGTTATATGCCTAAAAATCTTATAAGACTACCTGTTGCTTAAATTTCTGCTTGTAATTTACATTTTCCCACCTGATTTGTATTTTTTACCATATTTTGTATATATCGAGCAGTCTTAGTGATTATTCACACATATATAGACTAATAAATAATAACATATTACAATGGCTTTAAGATCACTGTAAAGGTTAAAAAGTGATTTCCATCTTTTGAGTAGTTTTTTTTTAAATAGCAGACGATTAATTAAAATAATCATTTTAATAATCATTTTTTTTAATCTACATTACAAATTTAATTGGAAAATTATTTATATTACATTAAATCATTACAATTCTTACTGAACATAATAATAGGCCCACCAATATTTCGGAGCAAAACATTTTTTTTACGTACAACTTAATTAAATTATTTATAAAACTTTACAGATATTAAAATGGCAAAATTGTGTATTATTAATTAGGTTAACAGACTATGCGTGCGGTCGCAAAAATTAGTCCGGTCGTTCATTTACGTAGTACCTACTTCATCTGCGCTTATGTAAAAGTTTCATAAAATAGAAAACTATTGGCAATTAAAATAGCGATCGAAAACTAATAAAGTTAAAAGTTATTTTAATAAGTAGGTTATAGTTCAAAGAGGTTTCATATTATATTTTTAAGGTTTGAACACATCTTTCAACACGTTTTTTTTATAAACTAAGACTTCTAATAGAAAATGCTATATTTTCCCTTATTCATAACCATTTCATTTAAGCACTATAGTGATATAATTAAAAATAAAATTAATTATTTGCAGACGGTACATGATAAGTGAACCATTGCTTTTGATGGCCACGCCAATAAACTAAATCCCTAATAATAATATTCCCATAGAATATTCACATAGAATAAGTAGGTACTAATCTATGATATTCCAGTATTGTAAACACTTATTAATTTTAAAAGAACACCTGTTCAATTTTTCGGCGATTTTTCTTAGAACTAGTGCATCATGAACTTACAATATAATTTAATATTTCTAAGCAATTAAATATCTTTTTAAATAAAACTGATTACCGGTGGTAGGATTCTATCAAGCCTGAGGAGTCCGACTGGATGGGTACCACCCCCTTATCTATTTCTCCTAATAAGCAAAATGATCGCATTGTTGTGTTCCGGTTTGAAGGATAAGGTAGCCAGCGCAATTACAGGCAAGAGGCATATCATCTTAGTCCTCACAGTGACAACGCACCTACGGTTCTGTATTTTTGTAACATAAAACCTAAGTGCATGAACCGTAGGTGTTATGGGCGAAAGATACCGCTTTCCATCAGGTGGGCTGTCTGCTCGTTTGTCACTGAATAACATAAAAAAACATATTTTGGCTGATTGAAAGACACTAATTAAATAAGAGAGTTTAGTTTCTGTACTCACTGTACAATATACATAATGAAAATCAACTTTAAATTTTAAGAGGAATTAAGCTTAAGTTACACAGTTAAGCGATATTGAGTAAATTTAATGGCTTGTATATTCTAAACTAAATTAATATACCCTCACCATATCTTGAACAAGTAGATTAAGAAGCCGTAAAACTTTCAGAACCTATAATTTCCGGTTACTAGTTCTAGGTTAAGTCTTAGTTAGGTGACGTAAGAAATGTATTAGTTTGATCAGAGATAACTTTAACCCTTAGTAGGAATCAAACCTATTAATATATTGACGATAATATATTGACGACACGTGAGGCTCAGTTTGTAGTGACCCTACTTGCTGTGCCAGCGGTCGCGGGTTCGAGTACCGCAGGGGGCATTCATTTGTGTGATGAGCACGAATGAGAACAAGACTCGACGAAAGAGTACAAGACTCTAATCATGGATGTTTGTATCTATAATATATATGTATAAAAAGTTATATATGTATGTGTAGTGTATGAACTTTCTGGTATCCGTAACACAAGCCTCACAGCTTACCATGGAACTAGATGGTGCTATGTGTTAATATCCCAACATATTTATTATTATTTATTAATATGTATATATGTACGTATAATGTATATACATATATTCTATAATCATATTAAGTTATCCTTACATTTAACACTTGGGTTCACCTCTAGAAAATCAAAAACTAATCTATCCCTCGGGAACTATATATTTTTCCAGGATGATATGTAGCCTATGTGTTATTCCAGAATCTCTGTGCCAAATCTCATCCAGATCCGTTCAGCCGTTCTGGCGTGAAAGAGTAACAAACATCAATACATACTCACAAATTTTCACATTTATAGTATTTATACAAACTAGTGTTCACCCAGTGGTTGAAATTCGGCCATAATCATTATTATGGATAAAACTCGTCAACAGCTAATAAACAAAAAAAAAGAAAATTGGTTGACAAATAGAGGGGAAAAAGGTACTGAAATGTTTTTCCTTGCTTCTATATATCGATATAATTAGTATCTATACTAATATTATAAAGAGGAACGATTTGATTTTTTTGTTTGTTTGTTTAGAGATTAATTTTGACAAAAAGCTGCTAGCTTTTCCATAAACGATTTTTTTTTATTTCACCCTCCTTTTGTTTAATTATATGGAGATGAATTATAGTAGAGCAGATGTGCCTTTCATTTTTATTTCAACTAATCTGTACAGATAAATAAAATTAAAGTTCTGCTTGTAATGTCAAAATAACAGCTTTTTACTGAATGTATATGAAATTATATACGGTACTTATAAGAAAAACACAACTTTAAAAAAAATTCTCTCTCTGTCTTATCTGTTTGTTCCAGCTAATCTCTGAATAGATTTCAAAGACTGAATTTAACGAGACTTTCACCGGGACCGGCAAATAGGTGATGTTATAAGGAGTAGCTTAGCCTACTTTTATTTTAGAAAACAGAATTACGGCTCCGCTTAAAAAAAGTATGACAAGTACTTCGATAGATTCGGAGGCCGAATCTATAGTTTTTAGAATTTTTGTCTGTCTGTTACCGTATCACAGAAAAATCACTGTAGGGATTTTGATGAAATTTAGTATGGTGATAGCTGGTTATCCGGATCAACATATAGGATACTTTTTACCGCAGGAAAATATCTCATTTTTGAGAAAAAATACAATAACTGCAATATAAGAGTATACTAATATGTAAACCATAAGAATTTGGTTTTGGTCATCTGAACGCGGGCGGAGCCGCGGTATCAATGCTAGTAGACACATATATATATATATATATATATATATATATATATATATATATATATATATATATATATATATATATATATATTATTTAGTCATAGTGCTATGGATAGCTTTATGTTATTTATGAAAATTTCTAAAAAAACATATCTATGACTGTATAGAGACTTTGTATTAAGCCCTTTTAATTGTCCCACTGTTGGGCCTCCTTTCAATAAAAGAGGGATCAGATGATAGTCCACGCTGCCTTAGTGCCGGTTAGCGGACTTTACATTTCACATGTCTTGCGAAGTACTACTTACTAGGTTCTTACTTACTAGGTTCTCAGACATGCCGGTTTCCTTACGATGTTATCCTTTTCCGTAAGACAAGTGGTAATCATGTTGAAAATGATTTGCACATGAAAATATCAGAGGAGTGAGACCCGGGATTTGAACCCGCTGCGCTTTGTTTTCAAAATAAGCGCGTTACCACTGGACTACCACTTTATCTACATTAATTAATTAATATACTTTAATTTTATCTGTTTGTCATTCAATACATAATATTATTATATCAACACCGTTGGTCTAGTGGCTAGCACATAAATTATTTAGATCGAGGAATCTCGGGTTCGAGGCCCGAAACGGGCAAAAGCAATTACTGGGATTTTCTGTCAAAAAAACTCAATTACAGCAAAAATCAATCACACGGAAGAGTGTGAGAGTTAAAGTAATAGACGATGAATTTGTATGAACACGTATACACACTGCACTATAATATTCTCCAAGCAGTTAGTTCTTCAGTGGGATTGGCCGCCGTAACCGACGTCAGTTCACTTTATGTAAGAGGTACTTCTTGCTTGTAAATAGCTGAAAAAATAACTAATCCATACTAATATTATAAATGTGAAAGTGTGTTTGTTTGTTTGTCCTTCTTTCACGTCGAAACAGAGTAACGGATTAACATGATTTTTTGGAGGGCTGTAGAGTGACATAGGCTACTTTTTACTGCGGATGATTATCTAATTCCTACAGGAAAACATTTTATAATACAATCCAAAAAAATATTACTGATCAGAATTACTTGAAACTTGGTATTAATACTCTACAATACAATTAAATAAATATGTGTTTTATCATTTTTCCAAATTCATCCATAAGAGAGTAAAATAGGCAATGAAATTTTATATAAAACCTACCTTTTTAGTTTTTTTTTCAAGATTTAGCGCGAACGAAGCCGCGGGTTCTGCTAGTTCTATATGGATCTAATACTTTCTTAGATTTATGCCAAAATTTGACATTTTAAAATATAACTATCTGTTCGGTTTTCTTTGCGGATTTATCTTGATTTTTGGTTACCGACGTTTCGAATGTTTTACAACAATCATGGTCACACTAGAAACTTCATTTTAAAATTCCATAAATGTTGTCAATTGAATGAACAATAA